ATTTGTATTTAATGTTTCTGACACTCCGAGTATTATATACACGATTATTTCGAATAAATTCGATCTTTATTACATTAATAATAACAAGATCATTATCGTTTCTCATCAAATGTCATATATATATATATATATAGATCAATATTAATTAATTAACCAATTTTTTCCCATTTAAATTAATTTAATTAATTAATTATCATAATCTACAGGATGTGTTTGTGTCAAAACATGTAAGTCCCACTTTCATTCTAAAACAATGAAAAAAAGTTTTTACAAATAATACATGCGTGCACATGTATGTATGTATGTATGTATGTATGTATGTATGTATGTATGAACATTTGTTGGCATTTCCTTTTTTTTTTTCATTTATGAAATTGGTCTGACATATTACACGAGACACCATGTATATTGCAAACAATTGTACTTATTAGAAAATTTGAGAAACATCGTTCTAGTCAAGAAACATACTTTCGCGTTAATTCCTACACACGTGTTTTATTCTTTAATTTTTTTTACTTTTTTTTTTTTTTGTAGTTTTTCCCCTCGTTTATGTATACAGTGTATGTGTATGTGTATTAGTATTCGTGTGTGATATTAATAGTAACTGCAATAAAGAACAGTAAATCGTACCCAAGCACGTTACCGTATTATTCAAAATGATTCATTGATCTAGAATTATACGAAGTATAATATATATTCTTATATTTATTTATATTTATATATTTATTTATTTATTTATTTATTCATTCATTTATTTATTTATTTATTTATATTATTTAATGTGTGCAAGATCACGAAGACGTTCCCCGCACTTATCAAATATATTTAATATTTTTTTGTCGTTTTGTTTTCTTCTGCGCTAGTTCCTTTGTTTGTCTCTTTAAATATATATAAAAAACAAGTAAAGATTTAATTACAAATATTATTAATCATATCCCTTACCTTTTTCTTCTCTTATTTTTATTTTCATCTTTTTTTTCGTTTTTTTTTTTTTCTTTTAAATATCACTTCGAATGTTATCGACTATTCCGAAGGATTCGTATTTGTTATTAATTAATTATTAATTTTATTTTCATTTTATATAATTATTATTAATAATAATTTTCTTTTTATCTGTTCTTCTTGAAGGCTTCTTACAAGTATTTACAATACTATCATATCTTTTTTTTTAAATCATTAATATTCCTCTTATTTATATATATATGTGTGTGTGTGTGTATGTGTGTGTATTTATTAATTAGAATATTTTTCGTTTAATTGTAATAATCGGATGATAATTTATTTAAGTATATTTTCCAAGTATGTGTATGTGTGTGTGTTTTGTATGTGCATGCGTGTTAATATACATACATATATATATGTATATATTTAATAAGAGGTATGTATACTATATACACACAAAAATATGAATAATGTAAGTTTCATTAGTGTTTGAATTCACGTGTGTGCGTGAGTGTTCTTGGTCGATAATCATCGTCGTATCGGTCAAACTTTTCGTCATACGTCATTAGATACTAATTAGAAGAATAAATCATGTTTTACGACGCCATTAATAATAAATACGTCGTACGAGATCGAGATCATTTCGAGAATGATAAGCAATATATATTTATTATTTATAGATCTCGATTTTTAATAATAATCTAATTATAATCAATTCACACATCCGTTTAATTAGATATACTATTTATTTATTGATCCTAGTTATACGGATTATTTATCTGTCATTTATTTGCAATTACTTTAATCTGCCATTTTTTGTGTCGTTGATTTCAATTTTCATCATATTTGATTTATTTCTTTTGCTATGTCATATAATCGAAATTATTTGCCATCAATAGAAATTATTGTGTTTTTGTTTTTTTTTTAATAATTTTCTAATTGAAACAAAATTACACACGTGCACGTATTCAATTTATTGTTTAATACTAAACGTATCTCTAATATTGTAAAAACAATTTCTTAATCCAAAATTTCATTTAAATATTGTAATCAAGTATTACAACACAATTGCAAAATTTTGTATATTAAATATTAATATTTTTAATGATTATTTTCATGTGATCTATTAATTTTACTTTCAAATCTAACCATTTATTAGTATAAATTATTATTGATATAAGTTGAAAGGTGTTAAATATATGCATGAATATATTCGTACACGTATAAATTTTTGTTTTAATTTTGTTTTTATTAATTATACTCTTCAAAAGGAAAAAAAAACGACAAATTATAAAGATAAAGATAAATAATAAACCGTATAACTAGGGTATAATCAAATATTTGTAAGAAGAAGAAGAAGAAGAAGAAAGACCGTATTTTATAAAGTAACAACGTATATTTTAGTTTATTGGGCTAAACGACGATTGAAAATCGCATAATAGGAAGAAATGTGGCCCCGGTAGCATGATAGATAAATAGGTGCGGGTCGCAATTAGGTTTTATTATTATAGCGTGCACACTGAACGACCGAGCCTGTGTAAGGGGACTGTGCTGCTATTACGAAAACGCTGTGAATACAATATGGCCGCCATAGATACTGTATATTGATAATCCAGATGAATAAATAAATAAATGAGCGGGAGAAATGAAATTTAATTGCGTTAATCGATCAATCGAAATAGAAAAAAACAACAGTGTATACATAAATATATTGTAAATTATTAATAAATAAAATTAATAAAGAAAATGATATGAAAAGATAACCTATAAATACAAAATCGAATGAATTTCGAATATAAATTATTTACAATTGATGCTTTTATATAGATATAAATGTTTTAACCAAATTTATCTAATGTATAAAATTATTTCAAATAATTTAGATAAAATAATTAAGATGAAATATCTCTCAGTAATATATATATACAAATAGATGAATTATTGACAAATTGTAATAGAATGAAATCTGATCAATCATAAAATTAAAATACTTAGAACGAAGGAAACTATTTTAAAACAAAATTCGTGTTGAATATTATTTTACAAATAGAAATAATTAATTGATAGAAAGTATCGAAGATATTTGGAAGAAAAATAATCTCGATTAGATCTCGATCGGATGACAACAACACACACTTCAATGATGAAAGTGAATACACGAGTTTTGTTCTCTTTTTTTTTTTTCTAATTGTCGACGATGATATCGATATACAATGTATAAATATTTTCGAATTAGAACGATTATTTTTATCGAATGATGTGGGGTGGGCTATGGGGGCGAGGGGGTAGTAGGGGTGAAGGTTTTAAAGTGAACCAAATGAGCCGTGAGAAATATATACGTTTTGAAATTCGTATATAATTTTATGTTTTGTATTCGGCTCGGTTGATTATCGATGAATTGTTATAATTTACACATACACATACATACACATATATATATTATTAGTAATTAATTGTAATAAAATGATGAGAATAAATAAAATAATCATGATAATATTGTATATTTAATATCATTGCATTATTGTAATCAAATGATTAATAATACATGTATACTTTTATTCTCATGTATACACATATTATTAAAATATAATTACAATAAATTGTTTGACGTTTTATATATTCGATTAAATAAATCGATATTATTTATTATTAAACGATAATTCAATGAAAATTTTATTTAATTATAATTAAATAATTAACACACATATATACGTATATGTATACTTCAATATTACGTATACATACGTACGTGTATTTTCGTATGTATATATATGTATGTATGTGTATGTTTTAACGTAATGGGGATGTAAAATCAAAATTCGTTCGAATAAATAGACTTAGCTTAAAGAAGAGTGGTGGGGGAGATGGGGGAGGGGGTGTAGTAGCATTTAGAATGTCGTTAAATGATATAAAAAAATCGTTGACAATTTTAATATGAATGTGATAGTGAAAAAGAGAGATATAGTTAAATGGACAACAAAAATTCGAAAAAGAGAGAGAGAGAGAGAAAGAATCGGCCCACTCCCCACGTGCTTCGGACGTTCGGTTAGCTCATAAAGAATGTTATTTTAATTATAATTATTATTTTTCCTTTGCGCGTGTGTGTGTGTGTTAAATTATTTTTTTTCGTTCTTCTTCTCGTTTGATTACTCGAGTGTCGTTGGTTTATTTATATATATATATATATATGTATACATATACATATACATATACATACATATATATATATATATATATATATTTTTATTTCGTGTATTCATTTTATTTGTTGAATAATTCATTTTGTTTTGTATTTTTAAATAGCGCGAACGGGTTTTTTTTCAATGTGTGCATTTTGTTTGCTGTTGTTTTTTGTGTGTGTGTGTGTGTGTTTTTCTTTTTCCTTGTTTTATATTAATTTTTTGTTTGTTCTGTTGTATTTCCATTAGCGACCCCCACACACAATTAAAGGGCGGTGGTGCGCAGGTAGGGACAGCGCTGTAGCGACAGGCCCCGGGGCCCCAGCTCCTAAATGGCGTTAAGTGCACGCGAGTCTTGCTGTTGGCGACGTCTCGATGCATTGCCATAATCAGTTACGTATGATTCCTCTTCGGTACCGTAATCATGATCACTACGATCCATTCGATCACGATCCATCCTTTCCAAACGGGATCTTCTCGTGCCACCACCACTCATGTGTCCGCTTCCACTATACGATCCTGAACCTGTGTTTCAGATTTGGGGATTTTTTCTTTTTTTTTTTTTTTTAATAATAATAATAATAATAATAATAATAATAATAAGACATATCGTATCGTTTTTATTAGATTTTTCGGCGGAGTTGGTTTTTTCTTTTGTTTTTTTTTTTTTTTTGAGGTTATGGTTTTATTTCATTCTTTTGTTCTTTTTTTGTTCGTACCCAAAGATATCCATGCTTCGGGGTTGTTCATTTTGTTTTCGTAACTACTCTTGCAAACTACTTTAATTGAGTAATAATTTTTGAAATGGCGTGCTTGCAAGTGCAGTAATTACAAAATTTGTTTATCAAAACGAGATGGATTGAAATGAAATGAAGTTGCGTGTACGTTTAGACTAACGTTACGTTTATAATCGAATAAATATTGTTTATGATATGTTTTAATTAATAATTATTCGTATTAAATAAAACATTCCTAAGCATGGATCTCTTTGAGAATAAATAGAAAAAAGATTAAAAAAAAAATATAAAAAAAATAGTAAAAAGCATTGTAAAAAAAAAAAGAAAAGAAAGAAAAAACAATTTCGTTAGAAAAATCATACAGAAAGTGTATTACAGGGATATATATGTGTAAATAATTATTTGCTGCAAAAATATCATGCTACCAATATACTAAAACAATCAATCAATCATGCGTATCTTACAAATAGCATGCGTGAGAGCTTAACAACAGCAAGCTAGAAAATAATATAAAACATAAAAAAAAAGAAAAGGCAAAATACATTGGCAAAAATTGTTATTGTATGTAAATTTATCGCTTGATAAAAGTGCGCGAGTGTGAAAACATTTAAATAAATATATATAAATATAAATATTAATATAAATACATATATATATATATATATATATATATTTTGTCAAAATCACATTTTTTTTCTTATCTCGCAGAGACTCCGACGTTCGAATAGTTATAATAATAATAATAATAATAATAATAATAATAATAATAATAATTAAATTTTCATTTTAATAAAAAAGTAAAACGTCGAGACGAATACAATTAAACGAGTGACACGTTTGAACGGAAAAAGGAAGAAAAAATAAAAAAGAAAAATGGTGAAATGAAATAATATAAAAAAAAACACAACAAACCGAAATATTCATTTCGATTTCGAGAGAAACATTCGATTAGGCTAATCAACGTCACGTTAATATCTAACGTTAACCCTTCTTTGCATGATGATAGAAATTTCAATCATAATATTTAATCAACAGAAAAAGGTACTCAAAACCCTTGTACTGTATATTTGTTGTTGCTGGCAACTTTTTATGCGACTATTGCGTACAACAAAACGCAGTCGTCAAAAAATAGCATTAGGATTTTTTTTAAATATTTTTCCTTTAATCTAGAACATTAATTACGTCACCCTGATTTATTTTAAAAGAAAAGAAAAAATCATGCAAAGAAGGGTTAAACACTAATCTAAAATTTCCTATTCTATGTGAGATTGTATAATTGCGAAACGAAGATTTTGCGAGACAAACGATAAGAAAATTGAGGTTAGGATTTGGGTAATGAGATTCTTTTTTTTACTTTTGATAATCGAAAGAAAAAAAAATGAGAACAAAAATTCATGGGGATCGAAGTGAAGTAATTAGAGAGAGAAAAAAAAACAAAAAGGATTTTATAATAAAGACAAACAAAAGATTGAAAATAATTTGTAAAATCTGTCAAATTTGACGTATAAAAAAAGGGCTGGGGTGGGGTGGGGATATGTTGATTATGAAATAACTAAGAAATCACCGGGTAAATTAAATCACTATATTTATAATATATTCTCTCTCTCTCTCTCTCTCTCTCTCTCTCTCTCTTTCTCTTTCTTTCTCTCTCTCTTTCTCTCTCTTTCTCTCATTTGGGCCCATGCACCAAAGCCCAAGTTCAGGGTGTACTTACAACGCGGCCCTTTTTGATTAAGTAGACTTTTCCCTAATCACAGATAATATTTGTTTTTTTTTCTTTTTTTTTTTTCTTTTAATCCCCTCTCTCTCTCTCTCTCTCTTTCTCTCTTTTTTTTCCTTTTTTTTCCTCGTTTCTTTATTTTTCCGTTTAAAAATTATGAAGTTTGGCGTCCATGTTTGATAATAACGAAGAATAACGAAGAGAATTAAAGAGAGAAGAAGGTTCGAAAGGGTGGTGGGGGTTCTGGTCTGTCACTTAATTCGATTGTTGGATTTGAAACTTTGGGATTGTTGGATTTTCATCAGTTTTGACCGGTCGTGCTGAGCCGGCCCTGTTTTCGGATGACCCCAGTCGCAGCAACCGCCTCCACCACAACCGCTTTTAGGACAAAGATAAATAAAACAGAGAACATCGGAGTCAGAGCTTTCGTGAGATTTGTTTTTCCTTTTTGTATGGTATGGTTTTTTATTTTTCTTTTTCGATAAATCTTTAATATAATTTTTTTATCCCCCTTTTTTTTTTTTTTTCTCTCTTTTCTCGTTAAATTATTTTCCTCGGCAATCTTCATCCCCTCCCTCCCCCCACCCCAACCCCAATAGTTCAATTTTTCATCATTTTTTCGATCTCATTTTTGTTTGCTTGCTTTTATTAGCAATTTTTTCCCAGTTTTTTTAACCTACAGATACTAAGGATTATTATTTTAAACGATACAACAAATATGGGCAACGATGTATGTAGTTTATTTGTTTTTGTATTTTATACGCGCGTGCTTATCACAGCTATGATAATTTTGAGCGTGTTAATTTGGCATTGCTCTGGGAACACGCGTGGACTTAGAGATGATGTATGATGATTTATGATATGGTTTGTTTTTTTTTCTTTTTTTTATTCTTTTTTTTTTTTTCTTTATCTAACCGTTCAGTAAATTCGTATAGAATTGTATTTTAAAATGTAATGATTTTTTCTATATCGAATGAAATGAAATTTACATTTGAGAGCTATTGTTATTAAAATAATTTGTTTTTTTACACAAATATAATATCCACTTTTGAGATTATTTCTATATTATATTATTATTTATTATTAGAATTTTTTTATTCGTATACTTTTTTTTTCTCCTATACACGAATTTTCTGAACAAATGAAATGGATTAAAATTTGTTAGATGAAATATTTTTCGAAAAAAAAAAAAAATGTACGAACAAATTGGAAATGAAAATACCGACGATTTTGGCACGATTACAAGATAATTCGATATTTTTGTGAATATATGTATTCGTATAATATATATTTTAAAAATAAACAAAATAAACTTTAAATCCACTCGTGTGTCCGTGTGAGCCTATAGACGAGTAGTAGAGAGCTTTTTTTTCTCTTAGCGTGCAACGAGAGAGGTTGTTAGGCTGTTTTTTTATTTTTCATTTTTTCTATTTTTTATATTTTGCATTTTTAAACAGATTAACATTTTCTATATTATATATATATATAACAGTTGTAATATAATAAATTATGTGAATCTTTGTTAATTAATTTGAGAAGAAGAAACAACAAAATAAAATATCCAAATAATTTTTGTTTAGACAAATTGAACAAAATAATTTCTCAAAAGAAAAAAAACACAAAAAATAGGAAAATTATTGAGACAACATTTTACCAATAATTGTATAAAAAAAAAACAAAAGAAAAAAAATTGTTATTTGACGTGAGTAGAAAACAATTGATTTTTCGTTCGTATCTCATTTGTGGAACGACAAAATTAAAATAATATGAAAAAATAAGAAAATGAGAAAAACATGAAATAAGATTAAGAATGAACGTTCCTTTTTCTGTTTTCTTTTTCCTATTATTTTAAACAATCGAAAATTAATAAGAAGAAGGTCATCTAGGCTCGGTCTCATTATCTCTCTCACACTGCAACGGATACACGTTTGTTGTTGCATAAAATGCTGCTGAAAAAACAGAAAAAAAAAAAATATGAAAAAAAAAACAAACAAATCATCAAACGAATCACGAGAAAACGAGTAACAAAAAGAAAAGAAAATATTGTTCGATTATACGACACGAATATTATTTACGTTATTTTATATAAGCAGTTAAGAGATTTTCATTTGATATTATATAATATATTATATTAATCACTATACTATTCTGAAAAATATACAAACAAAATGTAATTGGTAAAAAAAAATGATTATCCTTCGTAAACAAAATTTTCGTACAATTTTCCCCATTAAGTTATTTCAAACGAAATATATAACGATTGTTGGATACAAAAAATTTAATTCCTTAAATAAAACAAACGAAACAAGTAAAAAAAAATATTTCGAATTTTTAACAAACAAAATTCTCCTATTTTTATCTTACGTACAATGTTCGAGTTTATCCTTTGTATATACTTGTGTTTGTGTGAGTAAATGTGTATGTACGTGCGTGCTTGCTCAAGTGTGTATTTGTATTCCATACGTGCTACTAATTACATAGAATATAAACATGCATCTACTATACCGACATAATCAAATGACAGGTGTATCATTTTCATTTTTGTTCTCTTTTTTTTTTTATATATATATATTTGGTAACATAAAAAAGGAAACAATAAAAAAGAAAACTTCAACATCGAAAGCGTATACGGATCGGAATGAAGATAATTAAAAAAATGTAAGAGAAACAAAAAAACCAAAGTCAAGTTCACGTATAAAACGTTGATTGAACAATAAAATTCATCCCTATTGTTGTCCAAGCTCATTCATAATTCATTTTTATATCCAATTAGGCAACTCTGGAGGAGTTCTCTTCCAAAATAAAAAAAGAAAAAAAACAAAGACACATAAGTAAATGCAAAAGTGGATACAATATACACGAGAACAATGATAATCGAATTTTGTTGGCCGTAATTATAATTGAAAAACAAAAAAGAAATAGGTCTATAACAAATGAAATGTAATGAAATGCAATAAATAAATAAATAAAAATAATAATAAAAATATTTCTATCAAATGTGCGGTGCATGCGCATAAAGTTTTTGTAGAATAATCCAATTGGCGTGCAATCGATGACAACGATATGAAATAATTAAACGGTGACGATGAAATAATTAAACGGTGACGATGAAATAAATAAACGGTGACGATGAAATTAACTAATTTTTTTTCTTCTCGTATTATTATTATTATTATTATAATAGAAATATGTGTATATTATCGAAATGAAAAACAAATTAGTGAATGGGGGTGTATTTTGAGAACAAAAAAATAGAAAAGAAAGTGATAAATGACAGATAAAAAAGACAAAAAAAAAAAAGAAAAAGAAATAGAAACAGGGGTCGCGGTTGGCTGAAGGAGTGGCGGGGGATGGGAAAAGGGTTTAGGATGCAACGATGATGAGCTCGAAGGGAAAAGGGTTAAAGTTACCTCTTGGCTCGTGGCCGTAGTAACTCTCGTGATGGGCACCTGAAGGATCAACAAGAAAGTGTCGAGTGTTAGTAAACGGAATTGGGTCTCGTTAGAAATTTTCTAGTGGACTATATATAATAGATATGCATATTATTAATAATAATAATAATAATAATAATAATAATAAAAGAAAGAAAAAAAAGAAGAAGAGAAAAAAAAAATTTAAGAAAAAAGTAATTTCCCAAAGAGCAAAGGGCCGAGGGAATAAAAAAAAAAAATGAGAGACCATGGGAAATGGGAATTTTGATAGGATGGAAGAAGAGGAAGAAGGAATTTGGGGGTGGAGGGGGAGGGGGGGGACATTTTCACGAGAGTATAATATTATTTTTCTTTTTTTTTCTTACGACAATTATCGATTAAAGTTTTTAATTCCATTTTTTTGTGTTTCTTTTTTTCTTCTTTACTTTACTTTACTTTACTTTAAAACACGCTCGAGTTTATTTCCTGAGTTGGGGAGGATTGTGATTGTACAATATTTTATTTATAAATATATATATATTCTTTCGAAAATTAATTTAACAATATTTAGATTGAATAATAATTAAAATTTAATTATCAATATTCTTGTCCCAACAGTATATTAATATATATGAGTTTCAAAGGGAAATTTAATTATGACTCAAGGTCATAATAAATTGTTCATCAAATTTATTAAATGTCTTTAATTTCCCTTTGAAACTCATATATATTAATAATTAAAATGTTTCAACGTTATAATCCGTAAAATAAATTCGAGCGTATTTGTTTTGCCATTTTTTTTTGCTATTATTGTTGTTCTTGTCGTCGATCGTATAAAAAAAGAAAAGTAAGAAGAAGAGAAAAGAAATAAAGATAGATAGATAGATAAATAGATAGATAGAAATCAGTGATACCTGGTGTAACTCGAGGAGTTAACGCATCAACAGGTGCATCAGGTGCTGGCATTGCACGTGGTACTGCAGCAACAACAGGAGGATGGGTGGCTCTCCAATAAGCTTCGAGATATTCGGCAACGTGTTCGCAGGCATCTTCCAATTGATTTTCATCTAATATTACGTCGAACATTTCTGGCGGACATTGGGCTAATTTTTCAGCCGCTACCATTTGAACATTTAAATGCCTTATTTGCGATTTGCCACGGGTCTTGATCAACCTTTGTAATACTTTTGGCGATGAAATTTTCAAATAAACGATCGTTGGCGCCAAACTCGTTTTAGCCAATTGCGATGGGTGATTTATCGTGTCGCAATCCAGTACTACCAACTGTTGAAAGAAAATAGTAACTAACTTTTGTACTTTTTTTACGGTTTCGTTATTAAAACTTTTTTAAATGTTCAAACGTGTGTGTGTGCGTGTGTTTTTTCTTTTGTTATAAACTAAACGTAATTTAAATGAAACGTGTGTGTGTGTGTGTGTATTAGACTTATTATTTATCTGTAATAAATTTTAATTTCTTTTAAATGATTCTTAAAATTTTTTTTTCTATAAAAAAAATTATTAAAAATTATTTATTCGTTATTTTAAAAATTAATTATATCGTGTTAAAATCTCGAATGATTTTTTAAACAATATTAAAACGATGATATTGTTATTGGAAATGATAGATGAATATTAAATGTGATTAACCTGAAGTGTCCTGGCCAGTTCGAAAATCCTCTCGATTTCGGTTTGAACTTCCGCCAAACAACTACTTCTACTTCCAGATCTTTCCATGATCGCTCTTTTTGTAGGATTGTTCAATAATGATCTCTTTGCTAACGAGATATCAGCCATCACCCTTGTTATAATAATCCTATAACGAAAGTACTAATTAATTATACCGAAAAATACATATTTTCAATGATAAACCTTCTACCTCCTCCCCTTTAAGAAGAAACAACAAACAAATTGGGTTGTTTCCGTGAGTCTTATTCGAAATTTTTTATTCTAATGAATATATTTTAATAAAAATTAAATTATATTAATAATTTCGCGAGGAAGATTTTTAATTATTCATTTGTTAACAAGAACAAAATTAAACAGCATTGAACTGATATTCAATTATTTGCATGAACTTTATTCAGATAGTTAAAATAAATGTAATTAATAAATATTTGATCGAATAATTGTTTTACCTTCCTTCGAATCTGTGTTTCAAAAAATCGAATAGTGCTTTTTGCATCATGTCGGTAACTTGGTAGCCCTTTAGAGAAGGTCCAACTAGGACAACAGGCCTCATCGAAGGTACAACGTCGTATGGTGTTGTGGTCTCCTAAAAAGAAATAACATTTGTTATTAGCAACACGGGTTAGGATTTTTAAACTGATATCCAAATAACTTAAAGAAATTTAATCATTTCTAGGGATATTTTGATATAGGGAAAATGTGGATAAGTTACATTAAATTACCGGTTTCTTGAAGAAATTCTTTCGTTTTTCTTTGGCAGGCGGTGTGGTCAATGTTGCTTTTCCTGGTCTCACGTTACCAACGCTGTCGTTGTCGTCACCTTAACGAGAGAAAAAAAAAAAAAAAAAAAAAAGAAAAAAAAAAAAAAAAAGAGAAACAAAAAAATCAAACCAACATTGTTTTTTTTTTTAAAGATGCACATTCAATAATT